AACTGTAAAAGCTTAATGGCCCCTGAGCCCACTCGCCGCTTATGTACTGAGCATGACGTACTATGGAATGAAATACTCCTCTGGTCAGGTTGGGTCCGAGCTGTATGTCCCCCACACTGCCTGTAGTGAGAAAGTTGGGAACGCAGCTGCAGTATCAGAAGCTGAGAAAGACCTTGAATTTGGTGGAAGCACTCCCCAGCACCAGCTAAAAAGACACCTTATCAGTACTTTCCTCAGGGTAAATCCAGAAACCTGGCTTCATACCAGCCACTGTGAAGAAAGTTAACTCTTTCCTGACTAAACCCAGCACACAATTACTACCTGCTGATGGCTGCTTAGTGGTCTGCAAAGCGCACCACAAATCCAGAGTTGTTTTCACATCGTTAAAGCCACACTTCGAATTGACCTCCATGCTGAGGGTTTCAGCGTAAAAAATGAAGGGCTGTCCAGATATCTGCTGCAGGAGCATGTCAGAGGCGCATGGCCATGCTGAGCGGGTCTACCTGAGCCGTACCTGCTCAGAGAACATGAGGTCCCAGGCTCTGTTATTTCTCCCCAGCCACACCTCACCTGCTTAAATCTTTGTTCCCACAGGGTACAAAACCACTGTTATGGCAACCATCAGAGATGTCCCGGTTGACTCATCGAGAAGGGGGGCATCCCCATTATGTCTCAGGGCTGCAGCAAAGCCATTTTAAAGTCCCTGGAGAAAGAAGATTAGGGCAATAGAGGGCACAGCATGAGTAAGTTTGCATCCAGGCAGCACCAGGGAAGAAGTCTATAGTTATCTCTGACATCTGGTCACCATAAAAAGTGACTGCATTGCAATGCCCTAACTTTACCAGGAAGGAAGCCTGCAATGATATCTAAGCCATCTTTAAACATGGAGCACAGCAGTTTCCAAGAACACTGTTAATTTCTCCACCATGAACGAGAGCAAAGAAGTTTTCTGTGAGGGACTGGGCAGTTAGACATGTCAATTCAGGGATCCCATGAAGAATTTCTAATTAGAAGTCAAGCACTTAGGTGCAGCTTTCCTGATGGCATTTTCTACTCCAGGCAGGCAGAGAATAAAACAACAAACCCTTTATCTCTGCAGCAGTAAGCCTGCAGTATCCCATACATGTGTGAAAGAACTGCCTGGGAAACAAGCACACAACAACATTGTGGTCAGAGTTTAAAACCAAAATCCAATGCAACCAGAAAGCTGCAGGTTGCTTTTGCTCTTTTCACAAAGGAGCTAAATTCAGTGGCACACAGTAGACAGAGCTGCCCTGCAAAGCCTCCCTCTTATTTGTTATTTTTAGCAATTTAGTCTGACGACGCCTGACAACTAAACATGCTGAATATAGCAGGAGAGAAGGGGACTATCAGATACTATCAGAGAAAACACACAGTGACAATCGCTTTCTCCACCCCTAAAGAAGAATCAATTTTCCGTGCCTTTATAACATCATCAAGTTTGTTCTTTTTAAAATGCCACATTTGAAAACAGAATCCATCTAGCCCTACAGTGGAAACAGATAACATTTCCTGAAACAAAGCATTGTTCCACCCCTCACATATCATGTTTCCTTAAAAACAAGGGAAGAAAAACATTACTTGTTTTTTCTCCTAATACTGCACAAACACTGCTGAGCTAAAAAGAGCCTGCACTCACCCCTTCAGAATGCTTTCAAAATAGATTTAACACATATGCCTCATACTGGGAAACACAACAAGAATTTGATAGTATCAGGACTGGAAAAATTCAATCGCTACTGCTGAGCGGGAGGCTTCCCATGCCAGCGCGTGCATGAGCCTATGCCATCAATCTCTGCAAGGCTCGGGCAGGTTTCATGAGCCTCGCTGGCACGGCCTTTAAGCAGGCACATGTATTTTGTCAGCAAGCCTGGGCAGTGTATGTGGATCCCAAAGGACTACATCCAAGTTGTGAAGTTAAGGATGCTACACATGTATACATATATATATTCATGTTCATACCTTAGCTTTAATGAGAAGGGTAAAGCCACCTTGCTTTTTCTGCAGAGTAATTGACAGCCTATGCATCTGCCCCCTCGCACACATCCATACCCCTCTGGTGTTTTCAAAACACGGTTCCTCTCACTAAGTACATCCAATGCACTCACCAGCCAAGCCTTACTTTCACAGCCCTATACAAAGACAGGTGTGGTTCTCCTGGCTGCTTTGCCATGCAGTGAGCAGCAGGGAGAACCAAACTAGCAGTACCACATTGATTTTGTGATGCTGCCTTGAAAAGGGCAATGCACTGCTTTGGCAGTAAAAGAACCCAGGAGAGGGGAGTGATGGAAAGGGAATAACTGCAATCATGCACTGCAGTGGAGACTCTCAGAGGAGGGAGAAAAGAAGCTTTTGGATCAGATACGAAACCTCTCACTGTTTTCAAAGTTCTTGCCGATAGCTGTGATTGTCAGGAAACCCAGCTCATTTCTCCAAAGCAGGTTAAAGCCCACATTTTCACAAATAATCAGCACTCAATATCTTTCCTTGCTATGCAGCTGGATGGATTTACAGAAGAGCTCAGCAGCAAACCCAGCCCTCTGTGCTGTGCTACTCTGAAAACAGAACCAAGCTAGCTGTGACAGTATTTCTCAAATTCAAGCTTATATCAAAAATACATATTTCACAATACCTTGGCAGTAGCATCATAATAGCAAAGCATAACTGCCTCAAGGTCACACTGCATGAGTGACCAGATCAGCCACACCATATGGATACCGAAGGATTACTCTGGCCAGCTTGATTCAACTATGCAAAGTGAGAAATGTAAGTAATAATGTATCTAACAATATGAAATATAAACCTAAGCTTTAAAATCCTTTAAGAAGTTTTAATAAGGGATAGAGGGAAGTTTTAACCTATCTTGGTTTGATATTTATTTTACAGTGATACAGTGGAAGTACAAGGTCACAAAGTTTCACATTCTTTCCTACTTCTGTCACAACTTGTTTTCAGGGCAGCAAAATCCCCTACTCCTGTGATAAGTACTCTCTGACACGGACTCAGGTATTTCCCTTGAAACCTCAGTTTCCAGCAGTTGTCAGTATAAGAGCTTGTCTTCTTCCAAGGAGAATCCCAAGCCTAAGGAAAATCCTTTTTGCAAACCTGCCAGCCAGCTGAAAGCAAAGTAGTTAAAAGACAGACCTGAATGTTCACATAAAACACACTGTTGAAAGTTTTGCCAACCTGGACCCTACTATCCATGGTTAAAAAGAAAAAACAACCACCCTTCCACTCTCACCACCTTTTGAGACAGTCACTACTGCTGGGAACTTCAATTCAGTGGCCATAACCAGAAATTCAAACAACCGGGAGCTACAAAGCAGAAAAACACATTCGCAAAGAAGCCAGCTCTGAGGCTTTTTCTAAGAATGGCAAAGGTTACAATTTGGGTGGAATTCCATCCATTCTGTTGAACTCAGCAATCAAAGTTCAGGAGGTAAGATCATACCCCACCAGGAACAGGAAGAAACTGAGCTGCACAGCTGAACAGCAAAGGAGCCAAAAAACTGACCACAGCCCAGACCCTGGCAATAAGGGACGTGATGGCCAGTTTGTAAACAGCGGCCGTCAACCACACTCCAGCTGCTTCCAAATCTAGACATGCTGCTATGAAGTTCTCCAGCCCCAGTCATAGGGCTGTCTTTGCACAAAGCCATTGGTACCTGGGATGGCTCCAGAGCAGCCAGGGTACAATCACTTTTATCACATAACCATCAAAATGACTGTGCGTTGCCTGCATTAACACCACCTTAAATAAACAGCCTATCCATGGAGCGCAGGAAAAGTTCTCATGGCCAGAAACACAAAACCCCTTAGTAACTGGCAACAAAACATACAGTTATGTGCCTGCCCTACAGCTCCCCAGGCAAGCTGAGTTTTATGAAGGAATTTAAAAAAAAAAAAAAAAAAAAACACACACACACCACAAAAAAACCCACAAACTCAACTTCTGTTTCAGTGTGAGCAGAAAACAGACAGAACTGCACAGGTTTGAGCACTGATTTCCTATTCCTGCTTGTCCCACTTAGCTGTTCTCCACACTCACTTTCTCCAAAACACGAACAGACAGGATAAGCAGCTTGACACATCTCAGTTTTCTCTATCATTCCCAAAAAAACAAGGAACAGGGTATTGTATTAATTATATTTTAGGGACATTAGGAAAAAAATACACTATCAGTCATGGAAAAGTATGTTTTGAACATTTTCTCTGAAGGACTGTAAGCTGTACACATAGCCACTAGAAGATAGTCAAGATTCAGTAGATAACTTGTTTGAACACTAGAACTTGTGCAAACACTACTTTGTATTTCCCAGATATTCTTCTCTGCCATGAATACTCCAGCCAGATAAACATAAGAACACGGAAGTGCTCTGACCACATCATCAGAACAAAGCCCCATCTCCCCCTAAACACAGTCTTCAACAGCAGCCACAAGTAGATGCCTAGGGCAAAGCATAAGGACAGGACAGGCCTATACAGTACTTCCTCCTCATACTTTCCCAGCCTCTGGACATTTTTAGCTCAGGGACTTCCTGAGCAGGAAGACATTTCTACATATTTGGTAATTCTCACTGGATCTCTTCCATGAATTTGTACAATTGTCCTGAGCCACTGCAAACTTTTAATATCCACAGCCCTGGCAAAGTTTCACATCACCTATCTGCTGCAAATAACCACACAAATATGCTTTTGCTACTTTTAAACCTTGGTCCTACTAATCTCATTTGAATCCCTCGGCCCCAGTTTCCACACCAGGACAGAGAGCGAACAATCAACCCCTATGGGGGTTGTAGATCTAGCAAAGAGAGCAAGTGACAGGAAATACTTGTGGGTTACTTGTAACAGGCACAGTGTTTCAACTAGTTACAATCCTTCAAAATGAAAATAACCGCTAAAACCCAGGGATGTAGCAAACAGCATCTTGCTTACCTTCAACGTTCTACTTTTATCATCATTACCCGTCAAAAACTTACCTCTAATTCCTTAATTTTCTCTTCGGCTATTCTCTGTTTTTCTAAGAGCTGATTATGAATCACTCCTTTAGACTGAAGAATAAACCTACAAGTGAAAAAGAAGAGACAGACAACTGTTGGATATTTTACATCTGTTGTACGCCTAGCTGCACACCAAGTTGAACTACAGTGACCTCTGCAAAGTATTCATCCTCAACTTGTGTGTTCTGGACAGAGGGAGAAGAAACGGCTACCACAGCTCACACAAACCACCGGGCTGGCCTCGAAGGCTTGCTCACTAATCTCACCCATGATTTGAGAGAGAGAAAATGGATGCACACAGATCTCCCTCTATCACTCCGTGTCCTTGAATGATTTGAAAGCAGCTAGCAAGGGAAGTCTGTCATCACATTCCCTTCAAGCGGATCAATCAGTTGATGTCATACAGTCAAGGAAGTCTCTTTCATCAGGTAAACACTATTCATTACCATTTTAGTGCTCACAAGCTAAACAAACCTGCACAATGAAAACAAGCTTTCTACAAAGAAAAGCTGTGAGAGTTGGGGGTGTTCAGCCTGGAGAAGAGAAGGCTCTGAGGAGACCTTACTGAGGCATTTCACTGCTTAAAGGGGGCTTATCAAAAAGACAGAGAGAGACTCCTTACCAGGGCCTGTAGTGACAAGACAAGGGTTTTACACTGCAAGAGGGCAGGGTCAGAATGGACACAGGGAAGAAATGTTTTATGATGAGCATGGTGACGCACTGGAACAGGCTGCTCAGAGAAGTTGTGGATGCTCTTGGAAGTGTTCAAAGTAGGTTACATGAAGCTTTGAGCAACCTGATGCCGCAAAGATGTCCCTGCCCATGGCGGGGGGTTGGACTAGATGGTTTGTGAAGGTCCCTTCCAACCCAAACCCTTCTGTGATTTGATGATCCACAGCTGGGTACTTCCACCAGAAATACAGCCACGGTACACCTGCTTTTACTTGGGCTTTCACAGCTCCCACTGCCTGGGGCTTGGCTTTAACACACACCCTCATTGACCTCTGAATTCGCACGCCTTCTACATTCAGGTTTTTCTGTGAGGTGGGAAGTGATATTTTTTACCTGAAATTGCAGTCCCTGGTTTTTACTTGTGCTTTTTTTTAATTGCCAAAAGGATTTGAAAGATGCATCCGTAACATCTCAGTCACAGCTATGTTGCTCGCCAGCACGCAGCAAAGCCACCTGACTTGCTCAGAAGAGCCTCTGAAGGAGCACCAGCACGTGGCACTGGCGCCCCACAAAGAGGTAAAGGACAACTAAGTTCAAATGAATTTTAGGAACCCTCCATGGTTGTTTTTCATCCTTCCAGACATAAAGAATGTACAAGCCACAGATTTGCCTCTTCCCTACTTAGAAAGTCCCCCAAGGGATTTAGAAGGAGCCTCTATGGGTCATACCAATGAGGTCAAGGTCTCACTCCAGCACCAACTAAGGTCAATGTCTTCATGCCAGGTGACAAGAGCTCATGCTTGAACAGTTAAAATGAGCCACTTTAGACAGGGCAGAATCAAAGTGCATTCATTCCCTGTCTGCTACAGAAAAATCTGAAATCAGCTTGTAGTGCCATCCCCCATGACAAATGCCATTATTAATGTGTTTGCTCAGGGCCCGGTAAACACAAAAGCGGATCTGCTGCTTGGCTTAAACCCCAGCATACTCTGTATCAGCAACACAGCCAAAAGGAAAACTACCTGCCACATGCATTCCCGAAATGCACGGGAGCAGAACTGCAGTTAATTTTAACAGGCTTCCAATTAAAACTCTGCTATTAACAGCACTTAGCAATTGCTTCCTCCTCCTCCTCCCTTGTTCTGCTTCACCTCTTTTCTATAGGAACTTCCACTGTATCTTTCACATTGCAATTTTCTCAAATCTCTCCTCATTTCTTCACAGTCTCAACTCATGCTTGTTACCGGTGTCACCTTTGCTCTGTAGCCGCTCCTGTTCTTTACAGCACAGCCCACTATGTCAGCTCTATCCTCTCCTTTCGATTTCATGCCCACTCAATCCACTTTCACACAGTGGTAAAGTTTCCAGGTCCAGCACACACCAACCTGCTGAAATAAAGTGTGTGTTTTGCTCAGTCTTGTGAAAAATCAATTCTATGACTACCCTTCCAGGAAATATAAGTGATTTACATTGCTCTTAGATGCAGAGCCTGGATCCAGCCAAGCGGAGCCACTTTTCAGAACCACCAGCTATTATGTCATTCTGACACTCTTACCTGAGCCTGCAATGCCAGAAGAAACAAGCCTTAGCTTTCACACACATCCCCCATAGATTTTGGGGTGAAGACTAAACGTTTGCCTTGCTTCTGCAGTAGATACTATTAGTGAAAAACCAAAGCTGCTCTATGCCCTCAGTAAACAAAGCCATCAGTCCTTTCCCACATCACAGCTTCCCTGAGCCTGTGTGCGTGTGAACATTTCCTTAACTGCCCCCACTAAAAGGGGAAAGAAAGAACAACAGAATACCTTCTCATTTGCTTCCCCAAATTATATAGCAAGATTGATCACTTTGGTTTCACTGATGCCCCTGGTCTAAGAAACAAAGTCAAATACAAACACAGCTTGATGATTTTCCCCATGCTGCAGCTGGGCTACAGGCACTGAGTGATCCCGCCTGGCTGAGAACCGCTACAGGCACGAAAACCTTTGAACAAACAAGCGTCTGACTTCACTTCTATTCTGCAAATGTCAACAGCAGTCATCAGGGAAAATATCCTCCCTCCCACCCTCCTGCAATGCTCTGGCAGACATGCGACAGCCAATTAAAATTGGATCGCCAAAGTTAGCTAGCACTGATGACACTTATGCAGGCAGCTGGGCACAAATACAACCACCCCAATTTTATTTGCCATAAAATAGTGGGCTGGAACCTATGTCCATTCACACACTTGCTCAGGAGTAGATTGAAGGTCCTTGACCTGACCAGCAGCATCCTTCAGAAAGTCTTCACCACTATCAGCTTCAAGCATCCATTGTAATTCCCTGCCACGAGATCTTGGAGCCCTCAGCCCAAAATGCACAGGTGCTGCCGTGTAAGCTTGCAAAGACCAGTTCTTTGAAAGCTGAAGCTATAAATCCACATCCACAGTTAACTATTTAAATCTGTGGCATCACTTTCCAACATAAGGACTCAAAAAAACTCATGACTTTCAGCTTCTAGCTTGGGATACACACATCATGGAGATCTTGGCCAAAGTTTTTACCTAAGGAAATAATGTGGTTTATGGCAGTACCTGGAAAATGCAGAAGCCTGTTCTGCTCATTAAGTAAGAGGTGCTGCAGGGCACTTGTAATAAACTGGAGTTTAAATTTAATCTGGATTTCATTCTTCCAATTACCTTAAGTAAAACACCAACTTGATGATTTTTTTTAATCCCCTCCACAAGCTGAAGAAATAGGGCAGCATTGTTCTGCTGCCTGGTTTCAGTTAAATGCTTATTTTGTTTATGAATTTTTAAGCTCACTGAAGAGCCATGTGAGGTTCTGAGGACCCAGTCCTTCACCGAGTAAGTTTGTGACCAAGTCTTTCAAACACATGAACATCATCCACTGACTGGAGGCACATCACCAGCTGCGAAAGGCCCCACATTAGAGCCACCACACCATGGAGCTGAGGAGCCACTTTCTGCTCTGTAACACTAATCATGGCAGGTGACATGACTAACACCAACCCCTTGGCAGAGATCAGCACTGAGGAGCTACCTCCACAGGTTGCTTTGCTGGAGCCCACCATAGGAGGCTCAAAGACTTTGTATGTTGAACTGGGATGGCTTTTAAGTATCGGTAGTCCACAGAAGACAAGCAGCAAGCCAAACCCTCTCCCAGATAAATTCTAGTTCACTCGTGTCCCACCTTCTCTCAGTAAAGCCTCATGGCACACGCTAATAGATCTGTCAAACACGACACCTACACTATCAAACATGAAACAAGGATTCAGAAAAATGTTCAGCACCATAGTGGCAATTACAAAGCTTAGTAACAATCACCTCTTCATACAGGAATTCTTTCACTGTTGTTAAGTAATACCAGAAACATCTGGGTCAGAAGGGACAAGTTCACCCCATCTCAGCTGGCCACCCGTTTAAAGGGAATGGCTAGTAAAAACAGAGCAGGATTTGCCCTAGATAAAGGTAAAAACTGAAAACAAACCAAAGACAATTAGAAAAGGAAAGCTAGAGAGGAGTAGGGTCCTCAAGGACAGCAATGTTCAGCCAAGCCTGGGCTGCCAACAAGAGCAGCACTATTATGAGTACAGTGTTCGCAAATTGGGTGCACCTACATGCTCCGGTCTCCCGGTGGCTGCTAGTTCTCAAGTGCAATACAAGGAACAAAAATAGAGTACAAGGGAACTGAAAGAGAAACCTCATTCTAAATATTCCCACTTGTTTCTATTTTCCTCTCTCTGCTAGGTCTGCATCAGGATTTTTGTTTCCCTAAGTCAGAGAAAGTACTTTCTCTGAGACTCATTGCTTGTTTCCTTCCGAAGGGATCTCTTACTCCTTCCCAATTATAAACTTCTAGAGATGGTACCCGTTTGTTCAGTGTTTATATAGCACTCCCTTATGCCCTGGTCAAAACTGTCTTCAGGCTGTAGTCAGGCTGGTCAGCAATGCTGTTGACTTCAGCAACTGTCTGTCCCTTTGTGTCACACGTACACACCCACAGTGTGAGGCTTGTGTAGTGTAAGTCATTCCATAACTCAGCCTGTTTGCACCAAAGTGTACTGTTTACTTGACTTTCAGTATCTAATATTATGTCTTAAAGATTCATCTCTTAATGAATGAGGTTATGGAGATGTTTGTTCAGCACAAGCCACTCTTCATTATGACATACAAGTCATTAAAGTTATTAAAGGTGGAGTACCACTGATGCTCATAGTTAGGGTTCTTAGTGGAAAACCTTATTTTCATTTATTTGCAACTGCAACCGACTTCAACCTTCACATCTAAAGCTTTCGGTGGCAGGCATCTGTCCCAGAGGCACTCTCTCCTCTTCCTGTTCTGCTGATGGAACACGGTTCGGGTGTTCCTCTTCCATGGCTTGCCGGTGCAAG